ACTGTGCTCACTTTAAAGCCTCCTTGATTCCCAGAATTTAAAGCACAGCTGGGGACTTCCCTGGTGACGCAGTGGTTAAGACTCCGCTCTCCCAATGCAGGGGGCCCGAGTTTGATGCCTGGTCAGGGAACTAGATCCCACATGCATGCTGCAACTAAGAAGCCCACATGCCTCAACTAAGAGTGTGCATGCCACCACTAGGGAGCTGGTGAGCCACAACTAAGACCTAGCGCAACCAAATAAATAAATAAGTATTTTAAAAAGATAAAGGGACTTCCCTGGTGGCACAGTGGTTAAGAATCCACCTGTCAATGCAGGGGACATGGGTTCGATCCCTGGTCTGGGAAGATCCCACATGCCGCGAAGCAACTAAGCCTGTGCCACAACTACTGAGCCTGTGCTCTAGAGCCCATGCACCACAAATGCTGAGCCCACGTGCCACAACTACTGAAGCCCGTGCACCTAGAGCCCATGCTCTGCAACAAGAGAAGCCACCGCAATGAGAAGCCCGCACAACGCAACTAGAGAAAGCCCACTCACAGCAAGGAAGACCCAGTGCAGCCAAAAATTAAAAAAAAAGAAAATAACTTAAAATAAATAAGTTAATTAATTAAAAAATAAAGCACAGCTGGCATTCTCTAAACTAAAGGTAATGGCAGTGGGGAAGCGCAGTCTGTGTATCCCCCCTCCTCTCACAGCACTAAGCCAGACTCAGAAGGCCTGGGGCTTAGTAGTCTTACCCTGGACTAGCTGCTGACTAATCAATTCGGGGTAAATGATTTCATCTTTGTGACTCATTTTCTTCAGTAAAATAAGGGTGATAGTATCTGTTTTGCATGATGAAAAAAAGTCAGATTCCTGACCACACTTTGAGAATGGGAAGAAACAAAGAGGCAAAATGTTTTTTCAAAGCATATTTCATAAACCAGAAAAATGCTCATATATAGTGTTTTTCTTTTCTGAATTTTACCTTATTTAAAAGTTTTATAAGAAGATGCATTAATACATTCTCATGGTGAAAGAGTCATAGTATTAGTCAAAAAAGGGCAATCAGTTATATGTGAAATGTGACCCCAACTTTGTTTAAAAAAGCATAAATACACTGAAAAAATAAACAAGGAAATCCACCAACATGTTAACAATGGTGGTAGGATTACTGGTGATTATTATTTTCATTTCATTTTTCTACATTTTCCATTTTTTCCTAGTGAGGATATATTATTTTTATAAACAGAAGAAAAGTACAATTATTTTTAAAGCAAAATAATGTATTTGCAAATATTCAAGGCTAAGCAAAAGCAAGCTGGATGTCATCTACGTGTGAGTCATTAGAAACCTTTAAGATTAAAATTCTACCTTTTGGAAGTACCTGTCCCCCAACTATGAGTCAGTCCATGGGTTTTTTTTCCTCATTGAAAGCCTCACGCAGAGCTCCCCACTCCTTCAGTTTCCAGAACTTCACCAGCCTCCTTGCCTGAGGGTCCTCTTGTTGAACTCGGGCCTGGCTGTGCTCTGTGGAGCTGAAGACCCTTGAAATCCCTGCAGTTACAAGCTTACCTCATTAGACGAGAAGGCCTGTTATTCACCAGTTTAAAAAAAAAAGCCGTGGCATCCATGCCCCTGCTCTGGGTTATTGTGCCTCTTTTTACAGTCCATGTGGATCTTCTTAAAGTCCATCACAGCCTTACTGAACCTAGAAGCTCAAAAACCTTCAATGGCTCCTCGTTTCCTTTAGGGTGGGTACTGGCCAACTTCCTTAGTCTGGCGTTTGACTTGTAAGATGGGAACCACCTGTCCTTACAACTCCCATTAAGCCAATCAAATGGTCTGCTAGCCAGCCGCACAGCCAGGCCAGGAAGGGACAAAAATGAGCGAAGAGAGCTGGGTATAGGAATGCAATGGGGGGGACTTCCCTGGTGGTGTGGCGCAGTGGTTAAGAATCCGCCTGCCTGGGGCATGGGTTTGATCCCTGGCCTGGGAAGATCCCACATGCCGCGGAGCAACTAAGCCCATGCGCCACAACTACTGAGCCTGCGCTCTAGAGCCCATGAGCCACAACTACTGAGCCCGTGTGCCACAGCTACTGAGCCGTGTGCCACAACTACTGAAGCCCACGCGCCTAGAGCCTATGCTCTGCAACAAGAGAAGCCACCGCAATGAGAAGCCCGCTCACCACAACTAGAGAAAGCCCGCACGCAGCAACGAAGACCCAATGAAGCCAAAAATAAATAAAAATTTAAAAAATAATAAATACGTATATATTTTTTAAAAAGCCACGGGGAAAGGCGTGTACTATGGCAAACGGGAGCAAAAGCATATGCCTTCTAAAGGGACTGTCACTTCTTTTTTTTAATTAATTTATTTCATTTATTTATTTTTGGCTGCATTGGGTCTTCGTTGCTGCACGCGGGCTTTCTCTAATTGCAGAGAGTGGGGGCTACTCTTCGTTGCAGTGCACGGGCTTCTCATTGCGGTGGCTTCTCTTGTTGTGTAACACGAGTTCTAGAGCACAGGCTCAGTAGTTGTGGCACACTGGCTCAGTAGCTGTGGCTCACGGGCTCTAGAGCGCAGGCTCAGTAGTTGTGGCACACAGGCTTAGTTGCTCCACGGCATGTGGGATCTTCCCTGCCCAGGGATCAAACCCGGGTCCCCTGCATTGGCAGGCGAATTCTTAACCACTGCGCCACCAGGGAAGCCCCAGGACTGTCACTTCTTGATGTCAATCAATTGCTGCCTGTTGGGATCTTTCAATTTTTCAAGAGAATTGAGAAATCTGGATCTATATGTGAAATCTTATTTTTAAATATTAGCAGCTAATTCACAATACACATTTGGCCAGTCTGCTGATCACAATTTGTGACCTGTCAAAGGAACACAATGAACTTTTCTCCCTCCGTACCTTTGCTTTTGCTGTTCCCACTGCCAAGAACACCCTCGCACTCATGTGGGTCTCATGAACTCCACCTATTCTGTTAGGCTCAGCAGAAACACCACCTCTTTTGTGAGCATTCCCAGATGACCTCAGCTAGAAGTGACACCTCCCTCCCTGGGGCTGCAACATTTAGTCCCCATCTCGTGCAATGGTTATTTTGATGAGTCCTACCTCTCTTGGTAGATAATGAGCCCCTAAAATACAGCTGACCCTCAAGCAACACAGGATTTAGGGGCACTGACCATCCCTCTAATGGAAAATCCGCATATAACTTGATACCTGCCCTCTTTATCTGCAGTTCTGCATCCTCAGATTCTACCTACTGTGGCTCACATAGTACTACAGTAGTATTTATTGAAAAAAATTCAGGTATAAGTGGACCCACGCAGTTCAAACCTGCGTTGTTCAAGAGTCAACTATATTCAGCAAATAGTTATGGCGCACCTGCTTTGTTACAGGCACCAGGCTAGGCACTGGGGATACAGCCTAGAGCAAGATGGATAGTCTCTGCCTGGATGGAATATAGAGTCTAGTACAGGGGACTGTATTTTTAAATTAACCATTCTCAAGACACCTAATTCCGATGTGTGATGAGTTTTATGGAGTGAAAAGAGTTTCTGAAAGGAACTGAATCCAGGCAGGAAGGTTAAGCTGGTCACCACGAGGCTGCTCAGGGAAGCATTAGCACTAAGGCTGCACAGTTTGTATACCGCACAGAGGTACCAGGTGGAGAGGGCAGGCGAGAGCGGAGAGCCAGTCCTGCCCAAACTGTGCCTTTTTCTTTTGTCTTTCTTGGCTGTGCCGCTCACAGGATCTCAGTTCCCCTATCAGGGACTGAACCCAGGCCACGGTAGTGAGAGCCGGCAATCCTAACCACTAGGCCACCAGGGAATTCCCAAAGCTGTGCCTTTTTCTAATGTGCGAAGAAGCATTTTGTAGTCTAACCGGGGCAGTGTTTAGTTCCCCCTCCCCTCCGACCACCTCCTCCACAAAAAGCTGCTCTAAATAAACACAAACTCTATTAAAAACAGTGATCTCTCTTTATATATATATAAATCTCCTCAAGAGATGTCCCCTGTACTCCCTTTCTACCAGAACACACCCTCTAAATCCTTACTTTAAAGACTTTGGGGATCAAGGAAGGCATCGCTGAGGAAGTGAACAGGAGCTGAGACTGAAGGTAAGAAGGGGCCAGGCAGCTAAAGCATGAGGAGCACCATGTACGAGGCCTCTGAGGACAGAAAGTACCATAGCTGAAGAATGTATTAATAATAGGCAGCCAGTGTGGCTGAAGCGTGGATAGACAGGGAGTGCGGCAAGGGTGGGCTGGGTAGTGACCATACCACACATGGCCTGTAGGCCCACATTAAGGGGTTCGATCCTCATCCTGAAATGTCCCATATTTCCCCCTCCCTGACCATGAAGCTTATGGGTGTCGCTGCCCATGGGCAATCCCACAGAGAGCATGATAGAGCACGATAACACAAACTACCTTTCCAGAGCTCCTACCATGAGCCACGCACTGCGGTGAGGCCACATGTCCGGTTCACTCTTCCTTCCCTATCCTCCTAAGCAAGTAAGTATTCTTTGATTCCAACTGAGCAGATGAGAAAATGGAGGCACAGAGAGGATGAGCAGCCTGCCCAAGGTTACCTGGCTATTAAAAGGTGGGTTGGGATTCCAGGTCTCTGATTCTGAGCCCTTCCTCTTGGCTGCCTTGTAACAAAGACCCTTGCAAATAAACAGAAGGCACAGGGAGTTCAGAGCCTGGCTACTCAAAGAGAGGTCTGGGAGCTTGTAGCATTGGCATCACCTGGAAGCTTGTCAGAAACGTAGGAGCTTCAGTTCCATCACCGTCCTAGTGAATCAATTCTCCTCTTACAAAAATCATGTGCATCCCAGACTGAGAAGCCCTACACTAGAGAATAATCCAAGCAAGCTGGCACACTGTCTTCGCAACCCTTATACAACAGTCTAGTATCTCAAAGGCCAAGTTTCCAGTGACTTGAAAACAACTTCTTATAACCAAATTTGCCAGAATTGCCAACTGTGCCATCCATCCGCTTACCCTAGTTCTGTATTCCACTCCAACTCCAAGGGAAAGATCCTGAGAGGCTACCATCACCTCCAGTGTCAGGCTGCTGTACACTCTACTTCTGCTCAATTCCTTAATACAGATCTGCCCTGATATAGAAAGAAATCTGAAGTTGTACCCTTCTCTGGTTTTTTCTGTTCCAGAAAATCTTCTATTTGGCGTCCACCCTGATCTCCAGATCATTTCCTGGGACCCACTTTTCACAAGCCAATTCCTTTCCTTAGCCTGCATTCCAAAGGAAGCAAAATGGTTTGGTGGAAGATTGGTAGGTGAGGGAAAGCTGGATTCTCCTTCTGCATTTAGGCCACATGTTGTGTGACTGGGAAACTCCCACCTCCATTTCCTCATTCCCATCTGAGAAATTAGTAGCATGGACTAGATAGATTAGGAATCGCTAAATCAGGGGCTTCACAGGTAACAGAAAACAAGTTCAATGGCTTAGGTGAAAAAGGAAGTAGTGGGGAATGTGGGGAATTCGAGGACGCAATGCCTCGACTAAAGAAGCAGCTCCACTCAGCAGGACGCTACTGTTGTCATGGGAAATACTGGCCCAGTGTTGACATATATTCTAATTTTTCAAGACTTGGGAATCAGACTTCCCCCCTATGAAATATCCTGTGGTGTTTAAACACTGGCATCTGGCTAAAACCTAAACAAACAACACTGTGTAGGCCAAATAAAGATCAGGTGCAGGCCAAACCTGCCCGTGGGCCGCCAGTTTGCGATGCCTGGCCTGGATGCCACCTAATGTTACGCTTAGATTGCATCCTATGTGCAGCTCTTCAAAATGCTGCTGTAAGGGAGGCGGAATCAGCGCCTTCCGGGGCCCGTCGCTCCTCCCCATCGCGATCCTGGGCCCTGTCCGTGCCTCTTCAGGCCTTTCGGGGAGAGGGCCATGCGCCGGGACTCAGCCTTGTTGGTGGTGGCGGTCACGGGTCGCACAGGGTCGCTTTCTTCACAATCTCCCTACCTGCTCGCCAGCTCTCCGGGCAGCGTCCGCGGCGATGACTCAGCCTCGGGCAGCCTGAGCCACGAGGGAGGGGAGGGGAAGGAGGCGGGGGAGGGGAAGGGGCGGGCGTGGCCGGGCCAACGGAGGAGGGAGGGGAGCGAGGAGGAAGGAGGATAGAGGGGAAAGGGAGGGAGGCGGAGGAAGGGAGGGGGAGGGGTGGCCGAAAGCCCAGCCCCCGCGTCCTCCCGCTCGCAGCCAGACGACTTAGGGCTGGGTGGGTGCTGGCGGGCCTGAGAAGAGCGGAGTGGGGGGTGGGGGCGGTGAGGTGGGGGAGGCACCAAAGGGAAGGTCTTGAGCTTCCAGCACTCATCCCCCATCCCGGAGTGTCCTTGTTGGCACGCGGTTCCTAGCCACACCCGCGGACCCACCCCTGCCGCGGTTGGATTAGTGCTGGGAAAGGCACCTTTAGACAAGGACCCTTAGTGATCACCTCCCTCCCTGTGGAGGCCTTGGAGCACTGGGTAGTTAGAAAGGGACGGAGATGAGGGAGCCGGGGCCCTGCTAACCCGGGTCTTGCAAGGCAGAGAGAAAATCCACATCGCCTACCCACAAGTGGAAATTTAAAGGGAGAAATGATCTACTGGTACATTCTGCTGGGCTACACAGTAGCTATAATGCAAGGTTGAATTTGGAAGGTGGCCCAAGGAAGTTTCCTTAGCAATTTTTAAAAATATAAATGAATTGATGAATGAACGAAATGTGCTACAGGAGCATATCTGTGTGCGTAGAGAGGACAGGTTTTCTTTTTGTTGTAATGTCTTTGTGTGTGTGTTTGGGAGGATGTATAGGAGTCTGTATGTGTATCTCTTTTTTTAAATTAATTAATTAATTAATTTATGGCTGCATTGGGTCTTCGTTGCTGTGTGCAGGCTTCCTCTAGTTGCAGTGAGCGGGGCTACTCTTTGTTGCAGTGTGTGGGCTTCTCATTGTGGTGGCTTCTCTTGTTGTGGAGCACGGGCTCTAGGGGCACAGGTTTTAGTAGTTGTGGCTCATGGACTCAGTAGTTGTGGCTGGCGGGTTCTAGAGCGCAGGCTCAGTAGTTGTGGCACACGGGCTTAGTTGCCCCAAGGCATGTGGGATGTTCCCGGGCCAGGGCTTGAACTGGTGTCCCCTGCACTGGCAGGCAGATGCTCGACCACTGCACCACCAGGGAAGTCCTGTATGTGTATCTTGTATGTATGCATATGTATGCTTATAGATATAAGCACATTGATAGCTGTATATGAGCATGTGTGCTCAGAACGTGTCTCTGTGTATATGTACAGATACTTTTATATGCCTAAATGTTAAACAAGTGTGTATATATATGAGATCTATGGGCTTTCCTGAGCTTGCATGTACATAGGTGTATGGACATGAATTTGTGGGTTTGTGGGTATGACAGCATGTACTTGCGTATGTATTGCTATTGTGTGCCAGTGGTGTGTGTGTGTGTGTGTATGTGTATGGGACTCCATGTGCCTTGGTGAGATTGCATTATGGTTGTGTATGTGTGTTCGTGAGTGTACGGGAATACATTTGTGAGTCTGTGGCCAGGGCTGGGGTGTGCCTTGAGGTTGCTTGTGTGTTCAGATGAGAACAGGTGTGTTTTTCCAAGTCTGAGTGGATATGACTGTAATGAGTCTGGGTATCTCTATAGCCAGCCTATTGATTCAGTCTGTGATAAGGGCCAGGTGATTCTTAAGGGTTGGGCTGGTCAAGGTACCTCTTGGAGGAGGAGGTCCTCAGAGGGTGGGGACTGTGGAAGTAGGAAAAGCTCCGGGTGTCCTGGCCCAGTGACCATCCAGAGCAGTGGAAGGCAGGGTGAGCAATGTAGGCTGAAGCAAGACACGGTGACCTTGAATGCCAGAACAGGTCGTCCTCCAGGTCGTCAGGGCCTCCACCCTCTCAAGTCTGCTTCTCTTGTGGCCTCCTCGCTGTCTACCTTGTCAGTGCTCTTCTGCAGAGGCATGCCCTCGGTCATTAACAATAGCAACAGTATATAAATAGACATTTCTCTAAAGAAGACATACAGATGGCCAAAAAGCACATGAAAAGATGCTCAACGTCACTAATTATCAGAGAAATGCAACTCAAAACTACAATGAGGTTTCACCTCACCCTGGTCTGAATGGCCATCATCAAAAAGTCTACAAACAATAGGGCTTCCCTGGTGGCGCAATGGTTGAGAATCTGCCTGCCAATGCAGGGGACAAGGGTTCGATCCCTGGTCCAGGATAATCCCACATGCTGCAGAGCAACTAAGCCCTGTGCGCTACAACTACTGAGCCTGTGCTCTAGAGCCTGAGAGCCACAACTACTGAGCCTGTGTGCTGCAACTACTGGAGCCCGTGAGCCTAGAGCCCGTGCTCTGCAACAAGAGAAGCCACCGCCGTAAGAAGCCCGCGCACCGCAACAGAGTAGCCCCCGCTCACGGCAACTAGAGAAACCCTGTGCGCAGCAACAAAGACCCAACACAGCCAAAAATAAATAACTAAAATAAATAAATTTATAAAATAAAAAGAAGTCTACAAACAATAAATGCTGGAGAGGGTGTGGAGAAAAGGGAACTCTCCTACACTGTTGGTGGGGATGTAAATTGGTACAACCACTATGGAGAACAGTATGGAGGTTCCTTAAAAAACTAAAAATAGGGGCTTCCCTGGTGGTGCAGTGGTTAAGAACCTGCCTGCCAACACAGGGGACACGGGTTCAAGCCCTGGTCTGGGAAGATCCCACATGCTGTGGAGCAACTAAGCCCGTGCACCACAACTACTGAGCCTGCGCTCTAGAGCCCACGTGCCACAGCTACTGAGCCTGCGTGCCACAACTACTGAAGCCCGCATGCCTAGAGCCCATGCTCCGCAACAAGAGAAGCCACCACAATGAGAAGCCCGCTCACCGCAACAAAGAGTAGCCCCCACTCACTGCAACTGGAGAAAATCCCACACGCAGCTACGAAGACCCAACACAGCCAAAAATAAATAAATAAATAAATTTATTTAAAAAACCAAAAAAAACTAAAAATAGAATTACCATGTGACCCAACAGTCCCACTCCTGGGCATATATCTGTAGAAAAACATAATTCAAAAAGATATATGCACCCCAATGTTCATTGCAGTACTATTTACAATAGCCAAGACATAGAAGCCACATAAATGTCACTGACAGAGAAATGGGCAAAGAAGATGTGGTACATATATACAATAGAATATTACTCAGCCATAAAAAAGAATGAAATAATGTCAATGGCAGCAACATGGATGGACCTAGAGATTATCATCCTAAGTGAAGTCAGACAGAGAAAGCCAAATATCATATATCACTCATATGTGGAATCTAATTTTTTTAAAATGATACAAATGAACTTATTTACAAAACAGAAACAGACTTACAGATATCGAAATATACTTATGGTTACCAAAGGGGAAACGTGGGGCAGGGGGCTATATCAGGAGCTTGGGATTAACACACACACACTAGTATGTATAAGATAGATAACCAACAAGGACCTACTGTATAGCACAGGGAACTCAATATTCTGTGATAATCTACGTGAGAAAAAAATCTGAAAAAGAATGAATATATGAATATATATAACTGAATCACTTTGCTGTACAACTGAAACTAACACAACATTGTAAATCAACTATACTCCAATTAAAAAAAAAAAGCAACATTATGGACCACTTACCGTGTGCCTGTCCCCCAAAAGCTGTGAACAGGCATTGGCTCAGCTTAATATCCCCAATGTTACAGAGGGGGCCACTGAGGAGGTGAAGTGCCTGTTCCTGGTTACACAGCTAGTAAGGGTGCCTCCAACTCCAAGGGCTGCATGCCCTCTCAACTGCTGGACCAGGCAGGGTCTCACAACCTCGGCACTACTGACACTTGGGGCCGGAGAGTTGATAGTTCAGTGCTGTGGGGCTGCCCTGTGCACTGTAGGATGTTCAGCATCATCCTTGGTCTCTGAACACTAGATGCCAGTAGCACCTCCCATTCCAGTTGTGACAACCAAAATGTCTCTAGGTATTTCCAAATGTCCCCTGGGGATAAAATGACACACACACACACACACACACACACACACACACACACACACACACACGATTGAGAACCAGTGCGCTAGACTATCCTGCCTCCCTGGATAAATGTTTTCTGAAGGGCTGCACCATCTGCACCCTGTCCGGTGGCTTCAGCAGTCCCTCTCCTTTCACAGTGATCCTCACTTGCACACAGGAAGCGCCCGGCCTCTGTCTCAGTCAAACAGAATGTTAACTAGCTGGGCCACCTTATCCAACAACTCAACCTCTCTGAGTCCCAGCCACAGAAAGCACAGGGCTCAGCACCTCCACGGCTCTTATTATTATCATTTGAGTCACAGGGATTCCCTGGGTCAGAGCCAGGAAGAAGAGGGCCCCAAGCTGTAGACGATGCTGGTTCTGCAAGTTTGCTTGCTGGTTCAGTGAGGAATCAGTGCTACAGAGTTGGGCCAAAGCTGGTCCCAGGTAACGCTCTCATATTTATGCTGTTTCAACTTTGCAAATAAAACAGCCTGACTTTTTCCACCAGCAGAACCCAATTTTAATGAGCACCTGCTATGCTGTGGCCAGAGCAGGTGCTCAGGAGGGGCGAGGCAGAGCCATCAGCAGGACGAGCACATGTCCAGGTCCAGACTCCAGTTACAGACAAGACACAAGTGATAACACCTGCAGAGGCCTTCCGCTTCCACAGAGTCATGCCTGACTCTGCCACTCAGGAAACTCTCTTTGCCTCTTAGCGATGTGATCCTTCGCTGCACCGTCTCTCCTAGTCTCCAATCCCTGCAGTATTCCTGATATTTACAGGGTCCTATATCCAGTCCTCTTGGGAGGCTGCAGAGCCACGTGGTCAAGGGTGAGGGTTCTGATGCCTCATCGCGTGAACCTGTGTGGTCTTGAGCAAGGCACTTCATCTGTCTGTGCCTTAGCTTTCCTCATTTTGAAAATGGGGATCTTAAGAAGCCCAATCTGGCAGGATGAAATGAGACAGTAGTACACTAAAAGATGCTAGGCCTGTAGTAAGCCCTTAATAAGAGAGAGACAAATATCGTATGCTAACACATATATATGGAATTTAAGGAAAAAAAAATGTCAT